TTCTCTGAAGTTAGGAGAGAAGAGATGAGGCGGAAGGTGATGATTGGGAAACCCGAACCAGAGGAAGAAAAATCAGCACTCCTGTCCCGAGAAGTTGAGGCTGATGGAGACAAGAAGAATGGCAAAACAAGGCCTTGGTGTGATCACTGTAAGCGGCCATGGCACACTCGAGAGACGTGTTGGAAAATTCATGGAAAGCCGAACAAATGGAAGAAGAAACCACCGGTAGATGAGCGTGGTTTCCATGCCAATACAGCCGAATCAGGGCTTGAAACTACCTCTAGAACGCAACCATTCACAAAGGAACAGTTAGAGCAAATATGTAAACTTCTTCAATCCCAAAGTGTCCCTAATTCTAATCCTTCTTATTCTCTGGTTCAGAAAGGTAGTCTTCTAGTCATGTCTTGTTTTAGTGTCAATTCAAATAATTTGTGGATAATTGACTCTGGTGCAACAGATCATATGACCGGTTTCTCTAAAATGTTCTCATCCTATAGTCCGTGTGCAGGAAATCAAAAAGTAAAAATCGCAGATGGTTCTTTCTCTACCGTAGCCGGGAAAGGATCAATTGTGATTTCTCCCTGTTTTACACTCCACAATGTTCTTCATGTTCCCAAGTTATATTGTGACCTATTATCAGTCAGTAAACTAACAATGGATCAAAACTGTCTTGCTAATTTTTCTTCATCTGGATGTAAATTTCAGGATTTGACTACGGGGAAGATGATTGGCAATGCTAGGCAAGTTGGAGGTCTCTATTTCTTCGAAGATGGATATGACTTGAACAGGCAATCCCAGAAGACTTGTCTCAATTCTATTTCAGTTCTTAGAGAGAATGAAATTCTGTTATGGCATTTTAGATTAGGACATCCAAGTTTCTATTATATGAGACATTTGTTTCCTAAACTTTTTATGAATAAAAATCCATCTTTTTTTCAGTGTGAAATTTGTGAAATTTGTGAAATTGCCAAACGTCGCCGAGTATTCTTTCCAGCACAACCTTATAAGGCCACAGAACCACTCACTATGATTCATAGTGATGTGAGGGGGCCTTCAAGAATTAAAACGAAAACTGGAAAAAGGTGGTTCATAACCTTCATTGATGATCATACTCGGGTTACATGGGTATTTCTTCTTAATGAAAAATCCGATGCTGAAAATGTGTTCAAATCTTTTTACAAAATGATTCATACCCAATTTTTAAGATTTTCAAAAGTGACAATGGTAAAGAGTATTTCAACCAGATCTTAGGAGGTTTTTTTGTTGAGAAAGGTATTGTCCACCAAAGTTCATGCAATAATACTCCCCAACAAAATGGGGTAGCACAGAGGAAAAATAAATATCTTTTAGAGGTTGCACGGTCTTTAATGTTTTCCACAAAGGTTCCTAGAGAGGAAAAATAAATATCTTTTAGAGGTTGCACGGTCTTTAATGTTTTCCACAAAGGTTCCTAAATACTTATGGGGTGAGGCTATTCTTACTGCTACATACTTGATCAATCGGATGCCTTCAAAAGTTTTAAAGTTTGAAACTGATAAGCCCTTACTCAGGCAAGTGTATGTTAGGAGGAATAAAAGAGTTTAGGAAGGGACAGCTGTCTTAAGTGGCTGTGGTAGTTTGGTGTTAGTAGTTTAGTGGAAATATTAGTTAGTAGTTTAGTGGAAATATTAGTTTAGCTTACGGGGGAAGTTTGGGAGTGAGGCGAGGGAATTGTATAAAAGGGGAAAGAGGAGGGAAAAGCGGAGATCGGGGATTAAACAGAAAGTGAACAAGTCTTGAAACAATTCCAAGCAAAGGGAGGAAGCAGACCCTCGAAGTTCTGCCGATCTGTGTATAATCATTGTTTCAATAATATCCTTCGTTGATTCTTTCTCATTCTTTCGAATTGTGCAATTAGTTTCTTTAGTTCTTGACCGGATAAACCAGAGCTTATCAATTTGGTATCAGAGCCCTGTTCTGGGCGATAATGGCTGCCAGGAAAACAGAGGAGAGGTTTGAGGCGGTGGAGAGGGAGATTCACCAAGTAAAAACGTCGGTGGAAAAGGAAATTGGCGAGGTAAGGGCAGAAATAAGTCAAAGTAGAGTTGAGGCTAACCAGAATATGGCTGTGATGAGCCAAAACGTTTCAGACCTGCGTCGATTGCTGGAGGAACAGATGCGTCTGTTGTCGGCGGCAGCGACGGCGAATCTGCCGGCGGAGGGATCTCGATCGGGAATCGTGAGAGTCCGGGAAGACGAGAATGGAGTAAATCCGGGACTAATTCGTGAAGCCGTGGAACGCGTGGACGAGGACGGCCGCCACCTGGAGGAATTGGCCGAAATTAGGGCTTTTGGGGAAAAGGAAAAGGGAAAACGACGGGAAATGGATGGCAGGGAAAATCACGCAGGAGAGGAGAACGTACGAGCTAGGGCACGAGTTGCGAACGGAAATCGCCCCGATTTTCGTCGCGATGGCCGGGATTTTGGTCGCGATGGCCGGAATGGCCGACCTAGGGCGGATGAGGTGGCCGACAGGGAGCGAAACATCCGCGAATGGCAGCGCGGCGAAGTCCGAGCGGGAGGATCGTCTGATGATCTTCGGGATGGACGTGGTGGACGGTACGGAGAAGGGGAAGGAGGAGTTCGTACCTTGAATGGGGGTCCCAGGTTGAGAGGAGAGGGACGGGTCGAGGGGGAGCGAGTCGGTGGTCACACCGGAAGAGAGAGAAGAAGATATTGGGAAGAAAACGAGACTGAGGAATCCATGGAATTTTTTGGAAAATACGGGGAGCCGTGGGGAGGTGAGGATTTCTCACCAGTGAGACGGAAACAGCTGGATTACCCACTGTTCAGTGGCCTGGATCCAGATGGTTGGTTATTTAGAATGAATCAGTTTTTTTCACTTAACAAGTTCACAGAGAGGGAGAAATTAACGACAGCTGGAATTGCACTTGAGGGAGACGCGTTATCATGGTTTCAGTGGCAGAATCAGCGTCGGCCTTCCATTACTTGGACTGATTTCAGAGTGGCTCTCCTGCAGCGGTTTCGTTCTTCACAAGAAGGAAATCTATGTGAACGATTCCTAGCACTCAGGCAAATGGGGACAATGGCTGAATATCGCCGGAACTTCGAGGTTTCCGCTGCTCCTTTACAGGAAATTCCGGAGGAAATCCTGGAAGGCATTTTTGTGAATGGTTTAAAGTCGGATATTCGGGCTGAACTGCGACTACTCCGGCCAGAAGGGCTTTCTGAAATCATGGACGTTGCACAGCGAATCGAACAGAAAAACCTGTTGCTGCGAAGAGAGAATGGGGGAACACGGAGTTGGCGTCCACAAGCAGCGGGATTCACAGCCAATCCGCCAACAGGAACTACAGTGAACCAGTTCCCAGGCAGTGGCAATAGTGCTGAGAGACCAAAAAAAGAGTTTCCATTCCGGAAACTTTCTAATTCGGAGTGGCAGGAGAAGAGGAATAGGGGACTTTGTTTTCGATGTGATGAGAAGTTCACGGTGGGACATCGCTGTAAGAAGAGGGAGTTGCGGATTATGTTGGTTAGCGATGAGGACGAGATAGAAAATGAGGATAGTGAGTCGGATGAGGCAAAGGAGGAGTCCGGGTTGTTGCTGCGAACCGAGGTGATCGAGTTGTCCTTGAACTCCGTGGTGGGGTTGACTACACCAAAAACCATGAAGATAAAGGGGAGGGTCGGCCAATGTGAGGTAATTATTCTGATCGATTCCGGAGCTACTCACAATTTTATCTCTCTTGCCTTAGTTTCGAAATTAAAACTGCCCATAACTCCTACAACTAGTTTTGGCGTTCAAACGGGAACGGGGGAGTCGGTACAGGGGCAGGGATTGTGTAAGGAGGTGGTGTTGTCCATGCAGGATTTAACCATAATTGAGAATTTTTTGCCACTGGAGTTGGGCGGG